CCCCCCCCCCCCCCCCCCCCCCCCCCCCCCCCGTACTTTCCGTTATTCCACAGCCTGTTCCTGGTGCCCGATGCCCTTACATCCTGCTTACTTCATTCACCAGCACCCTTCACCCCGGACAGGGCTCCTACCCCCTGTGCGTCAGTTTAAGAGCAGAGCAAAGGTGTGTACTTTGGAGCCTGCCGGACTCGATCTGGATATGGCTGCTGTCCTGCAGCTATGCGATCTTCAGTTGCTTGACTTCTCTCTGCACAGTGAGAATGGTGCCAAGGCCTGCTGGCGAAGGGTGGACGGGTTGGACAGGGATGGACAGAGATGGCAGGAGTCAGTGTGAGCCTGCCACAGTTCAGGAAGTACTGTCCAGGGTCACTGCTGAGGTGATTATGGTTCCTACAATGGGACTCTTTGTTTCCCACGTTTCCTTCCTGGAGGGCTACTGTGATCAGTAAGAGAGCCCCAAAAGATGGGTTTGGAAACTCGGGGTCTGGGCCAGGAAGTTGCATATTTAATAACCTTCCTTACTGAGCTGCAGCATGGAGTTCGGGGCCTCCTCAGAGAGGTGTTGCTCAGGAGCTAGGATTCAAGAACCCAACTTGGGGGCTGGAGAGATGGCTCAGAGGTTAAGAGCACTGACTCTTCCAGAGGTCCTGAGTTCTATTCCCAGCAACCACATGGTGGCTCACAGCCATCAGTAATGAGATCTGGTGCCCTCTTCTGGCCTGAAGGCATACATGCAGGAAGAACCCTGTATACATAATTAATAAGTAAGTCTTAAAGGAAAAAAAAAAAGAACCCAACTTGGGTTCTCCTTGCCATTGCATGCCCTGTTGGCTAAGATGGGTGGGAAGGGTGGCGTTTCTCAGTTCTTCCGGGTTACAGTGCCCCAGGAGTGCAGCTTGCTGTGAGCTCTGCATTCCGTCATCTACCTGCCAGCTCCTTAGTTCTCAAGTTGCTGTCAGCAGTTTTCAATCCTGCAAATGATGGCCAGGCCATCCGGGCCACAAGGGGAAGCAGGGAGAGGGGTGTGCAGCAGGGTTTTAGACAAGGCCCAGCATGGCCAGGGTGGCCCATGGGCACACATCTAGGCTTCTCCTCAGGTTCACAGGGGACATAGGTTAAAAGCAGGGAGGAGCCAGGCGGTGGTGGCACACACCTTTAATCCCTGCACTCGGGAGGCAGAGGCAGGCGGATTTCTGTGAGTTCGAGGCCAGCCTAGTCTACAGACTCCAAAGCTACAGAGATCTCAAACCCTGTCTCGAAAAACAAAAAACCCAAACAGAGAGGAGCTGCAATGGAGGGGGTGACTGAGAGCAGGGGTCAGCCCAGTGAGGGCGCTCCAATGTTGTGGGGAGAAGACACTGTCACTCCTCGGCAGGCCTTACAGGAGTGGAAGGGCCCAGTTTATCCAGTTCTGGTACTCTGATTACCCCTTTATTCATCCTCCACTGGGCCCCAGCCGTGGCCTCCCACAAGAACTCCCAGCCATCTATCTCTAACCCTAATTATTCATTCCTTCTGGGCTTTAGTGTCCCCGTGTCTGCTGTACCACAGGCCCCTGTCCTGGTCCTTTCCCGTCTCTACCTCTGTGGAACCATATGCTCTCTGCCTGGCTTCTCAGCTCCTGCCTTGGAGCAGGATACAGACCCTTTGTCTCCACCTTGAGTCTCTGGCCAGCTGGGCCTGAAGCAATGGTTCTCACTGGCTGCTATGGCCAACGTCTCCCATATCTGCTCTTTGCAGGGCTACCATTCCTTCTCACTGTCTGGTGGGTTCCTGTTCATCGAACCTCATGGTTGGTTACAATCCTTCAACACTCTAACCTGCACCCCAGTTCCTTCTCTTTGTATGTCTGTGACACCTGACCTCTCCTGCTTCCCAAACTCGGCACCTGCGTGTGCCGTCCCCTCTGGTTAACTGTATTCTCTCTCATTGGGCTGGCCACCCCTGTGCATTCCTTGTCCCTTGCCCAGATGCCATCAACCCTGAGGCTTTCCTGGATCACTTAGTCTGGGATGGGTCTCTGGACACCCTACCCTATGCTGCCTTTGCTGTGCAGAGCAGGACAAGAGCAACCCGGAGGTTGCAGAGAAGTGTAGGTCCCTCCAGCGGGGTGAAGGCTGTAGAGACGGGTGGGTGCATGGGTTGTAGGAACCTGAGGATTTATCTGCACTCTGGATAGTGTTTTCTAAGAACAGACTGTGCGGTATTGCTCATTTGAAGAGCCAGGCTCTGAGGCAACAGGGGGCATGTGGGCACAGCAGTGTACAGGGAAGCTCAGAGCTGAGCAGGGGATGTGGAGATGAAGCCAGGGAGGAGGCAGGGAGCAGGATGGGCCAGGGACAGCCAAACTGGCCAGGAGGGATGAGGATGGTGGTAGGGTGTGGCCTGTGACACAGAGAAGGTGGGGTTACCAGAACAGGGACTGGGTAGTGGGGGAGCATGTGTGGTGTGCTCCATTAGCCATGAGAGCTCTGCACTTCAGTCTTGGCCGGTGATCACAGGAGACCCAACTGTTCCGTGCGTGGTGGCCCTTAACAGATTCCTGCCTCTGTGGCAATGGACTGCAAGGCAGGAATAGACTCGTTGGTGTGTGCTCTTAGGAAGCCCATCCATACAGCCATGTTGTGAGGCCCCCAGCTGTGTCAGTTCAGGCTGAACTCTTGGGACAGGTGGGTATGGTAGCTCCGTCCTTATGTTGTCTGTCCTGTGTACTGACTTCCTGGGTCCTTGCAGCACCAACCTTGTAGTCAGACAGTGCTCTCGGGACCACTCTCAGTCAAGGGCTTGAAGCTGGTCAGGGATGGCAGAGGCAACACAAAGGCCCAGGATTACCTTGAGCTCTTCCATCCTGGCTAATGTGGCAGAGGGCTGGGAGGGTGGAGGGTCCAGGCTGTACCCAGTGTTCTGATTGTATCACAACACCCCAGTCTCTGTACTGGGTCACTATAAAGCACATCTTAGACATGTCATCTGGGCTATGGAAGAGCACTTGACAAGGATGTACTGGTATTGGAATTGCCTAGGCTAGAACTCATGTTTAACATCTTTACACAAAACTATTAACATGTTGCCAGATAGCAAAGCCGTAAGCCTTGGGCCACTGGCAGCGGGGTGCATTTTGGCTTCAGCCCCAACCCAGGCTCCAGGGCACTCTGGTTTCGGGGAAGCCCTGCACATCTGTCTCTAAGCCTGTGTCCCCACAGGTGTTTGGGCAGCGTAGAAGTGCTCAGGCGCTGGAGCTGGCGCACATGCTGTACTACCGCAGCACATCCAACAACTCGGAATTGCTCAGTGCCCTGGCGCTGCGCGCACAGGAGGAGCACATCAAGGAGGCCCTGCTGGCTCACAGCTTTCTAGCCCGCTGCCCAGGGGGCACCCAAGGCCTCCCTGAAGGTAAGCCCTCCCTGAAGCCTAGGTCCTCCTGCGGTTGCTAGGCCTCCCTATTACCTCCCAGGCCCTCCCCGCTGTCCCCTATGCCAACCCTTCGGTCCCCAACTCCTCCTTACTGTCCCTCAAGCCCTCCTTTCTGTCCCTAGGCTCTTCCTGCTACCCCTGGGCTCTCCCTGCCCAGGTTCTCCTCAATGTCTCCTATGCCAATGCTGCTGTTCCCCAGACCCTCCCCACTGTCCCCAGGCCCTCCACATTGTCCCCAGACCCTCCCCACTGTCCCCAGGCCCTCCACATTGTCCCCAGACCATCCCCACTGTCCCAGACCCTCCCCACTG